GCCCTTCAGTTCAGAAAATCTCCAGTTTCTGAGCACTCATTGTTGACTAAGTACCTCTTCTCAGCTCTAAGAAACAAAACCATTAGAAGTCCTTATAAGAAAAAGGTAAGATAATTTTTGCAAAATGCATAGACAAGTTCTACCGTCGAATTATTCGAGGTCCGTCTAGTGCTCAACGACGGGGTGGTATAGGGACGGTAACTTACGGGTAAATTAATTTTAAGTAAGAGCAAACTTTTTTGCATCTACCACACTCTTCCCTCAACCACTCGTGCCCAGTGTCAGGACAGTTAAGAAGACCGGAGGCCAGTTCCAATGATCTGATCGTTCACCCCACGCAATCGACGAAGACTGTTGGTGTCTGGTATAGGGCGCAATGGTGACTTCCCTGTGAACTTATTAATGGTGAAACAGACTTTTGCCACATCTACTTCACCTCATAATTCCCTCGTCCGCCCTGCTCCGATGATATAGGGCAACTCGAAGACAGCTGCAGATGGGTGCAGGTGTAATGGCCAAGAAAGCCGACTAGTCTACCCGCATGTCATAAAGCCCAGTTCGCAATTCCATAGACATGAGGTGATCGAGGATTTGCAGGCAGTGAATGATATTGGGGTCACATTAGAAAGGACCCATTGCAGCTAGACCGTCAATTTTGAGTAGGAAAATGAAACCATTAGTCGGAAATGCGAGCATGTCGCTGCATAGGAATTAAATTGAGCTCGCATATTTCAGCTGCTCAGGATTGCCCCTGTTCACCTACTGGGAGGCCGGACAAGTGACTATGTTTCAGTAAAGTTTTGGAAGCACACAGCGAGATAAGGCAAGTCCTCCGGATAAAGGAGTGAATAAGGCGGCAGGTACACGGCAGAAATTGCAAAGAATATCATAAGAATGCAGAAGGATGACAAAAAGAGAAGATCAATCACTGCTCACCCATCGGTATGTGACACCGTCGAATTTCCGCACAGAAGTGAACATCACCGTGCGAGCAGGCATGTTGAGACCCATGGCAAAGGTTTCTGTTGCGAAGAGGCACTGTAGGGAGAAAAGGAAGTTCGAGTGACGGCGCATTAATATACTGCAGAGCTAAACAGGACTTTATAGGTCCCTCGGGGCAATGGTGGAACTCATCTAGAACAAACAAATATACATTACTAGTAGTACTGGCGACGGTGGTAAATATAGCAGAGTTACAATAGACCGATGCAATATCTACACATCTAGGTTAAATATATGGATTGATTAAAGTAAATGATACTAAGCAGTGGCCTAATCACCCACTGTTAGTTTTGTCAGTTAACAAAGACGTGTTACTATGGCATCTCGCTGCGTTTTGATTATCCTCGCAGCCTTTAATGGTCCTCCTCGCTTCGACCCTAAGTAAAATGTGAACGATCGCTTTGGGTTCCTCCTGTTTCGCCACAAAGATGGTTGCTTCGTTTTGTCTGTTCCAACCAAAGTTGCACTTTTTCACGGTTCACGAATAATGTCACGTATTAGACGCCTATTTTATTAACACAAACTGAACAGTGTACAGTGTCCTAAAATGCACTGGAAGGTGTATTCTTGATAATTGTATTTATTTATGCATTAATTATTGAGTTATCGCTACTGCTGCCCAAAATCGCCCTCGCGGTCGTCGACCATCAGAACTGAACAATGAGGACTTGCTTTGCTCTGTTGAAAATGAAAGTTTTTATTTAGGAACAGTACTGGGATCCCTTCACAAAACGGTCATGAGACACTTGCATCTACTTTACTTTGTCTATAAGAAGCCCCACAAAGACCCACATGACCTGACGGAGGCACAAACCAATCGACATGTTTAAATTTGCCGCTAGTAGCTGCAAAACACCCCGAATGATCAATTCTACAAGCGTGAGGTCGTCGATTCGAGCCATTTGAGGAAATCGAAAAAGTATACAAAGAATTACTCAAATCAAAGTCCAAGAGATGGCACTTTAACTAGATCCAGATGCTTGTAGGTTGGTGGGAGAAAATTATTGAGAATAAGGAACGTTAGTTTGAAGAAAAGTTGTTACTGTATTTTTTGTTGTCTGTTTAGTAAATTTTGAACAAAATCTTTTTCTTGTTGCAGAAATTTTACCTCAACACACTTAGTTAAAATTGGATAAACGGAAAGCGCGCCGTGACATTCCTAACTAAGCACTTCAAGTAATTACGCCTACGCACAAAAAAACGGGTAAAAATGGCTTTTTTGCCCGCCCTCATACAGAGAAAGATCGAAGGAAGATTGAACACATCAGTTTACCGTAAAGAAATTGCGAGAGTCATTCTGCAATATGAAGGCAATTACACCGTCTCGCTGTTAGGAATGCGCCGATTCCCAAGATCACTCATCTTACCGAAAGGGCCCCGACTGCAACTTCACGGCACTGTTACGAGAGCGCGTCATGGCTATCGATTTTTCGTCATAGCTAACTGGTCCCCTGTCGCTGATGCCTGCTCATGGAGCGGACTGGATAAATACCCCAGAGCCTTTTGTAAGTGACTTGGTTCGCACTTTATTGTCTTGAAGTGTGTGTGAATACTCTTCTCCTCCTGGCTGATTGACTTCCCTTTTTCTCTCGTGCGGGCCAACACCCGGGCCAGCTCACAGTTTGTGCTAATTACTAGGACCAGGCGCGGGTCGTAACACTCGCACAAATGGTGTTCTGTGAACAAACCACTTAGTCAAACAAAAGCCAACCTTTCTGTCAATGTATTACTAAACAGAACTAGCCTGCCGCTTGAAATCAGTCTCTCAACCTAAGTAGACTAGATGCCTAAAAGAATGCAAGTCAGAAGAAAACAAAATAGGCGATTCCGACCAGGCGACCACCGAAGCAAGATCCTCACAAAACATCCCCTACACTAAGAATGCTGCTAAATCTATGGAAAAGAACCGAGCAAGCAATACATAGCAATTGAGCACAGATCGATGAAGGTATAACGCAACAAACCTACGCAGCCCAATGAGAGTGGTGGCTATTTGAAAAAGAATTCATCTGCATAATGCATGTGATGTCTGTGCTGTAACATGCCGCAATCCAATTTGAAAATCTGCCTGATCTTTTTACAGTAAATAAGCATAACTGTGTCTACTGAAATGTATATAGCAGTTATTTAAGTATGTTTATCTAAGAATGGCGAAAAAAAATTAAAGTTTACTATCTGCCTTCACAGGATGATACGCGGATCAGTTCAGAGCAAAGAGACGAGATCAACTACCTCAGGTGACATTTCAAGCTACGAAGGTATGGATTTGTTTATTCCATTTTTTTAAAATAAAATCTAGCTTTTTTATGAGTGCTGCAGAACTTTTACTCCAAACTTTGGTGACGGATGGGCTCGACAGGTGAGTAAAATGATGGGACTTCCTGGCCTCGTGTATGATCTGCTGAGAAGAGCCCAAATTGTGAACGATAACCCCCAGTGCACATGGAGTACTGCTCGCTGAAAAGCATAAGCACCACCCCCAAGCAGCACACTGTCCCTTTCTTTGTCCACCAGTAGCCTGCTAGAACTTTTTACCAAATGAACCTCGCATTAAAACCATCCTAGGGGGGCATAAAGTAGGCAGCACAGATCCCGGTCTGCAAAAGCCGCAAGAAAAAAAGAGGACACGGACCTTGATAAGGCCTTCACCGAAGAGAATTTCAATGGTCTCTTTCAGGATAGGAAGCAACCCACCATGGTGGATGCCGATGCCCTTGACTAGCAGAGGCAGGACGCTCTCGACCTGCGGCAGCGACCGATCCTCCGGAGAAAGACCGCTTATGGCATTTTTGAAGACCTCCTCCACAACCTTCTTTTCTGCAGCTGAAACGGGGAATTAGCACAAATACAGTTGTAAGTCCTCCTTCTCGCAAAGAAGAATTCGACAGTGGAACCCTTTGCCAACATTTGTTGTGCATTCTCTCCACTGTGAGCGTTTTTAAGAGACACCTGGATAATCACCTGTCAAAGGTCAACGCAGACTTTCAAACCGTTATCTAAAAGAATACATATTTGACTAAAAACAGACTACTCCCTTGATTTCAACGGACCATTCATTTACACTAATGTTAACTCATGTGAAATTTTCGTTTTGCTAATGCGGTGAACGTGTTGTACGCTGTTATTTAGCAAACGCCTCACCTTTTTAATCATTCATGTCATATTATTATTATTTTTAGGAGTTTTTTGCTTACTAATACGACCTATAATAATTTTTGCATCTTAACAACTTTTTAAGCATTCTTGTACCGTTAAAAGGAGTTTTTAAGGGCTCCTGTCATGTACTCCAAATGTACTGACTGATACGATAAAACATGAAAAAGACGGAAATGAAACGGTATTGCGAGGGGGGAGAGGAAAGGGGAGCACGCACGTGTATTAAAGTCGCATTCCGTCATTTGAAGGGCGTAGATTTCACACTCCTTTTTGCTGAAACTAAAGACTATGATGGGCTCGAGGTTGCGCTGCTTCACCAGACGAACCATTTTCACCACGTTGTTTTCCGTGCCTAAAAGTCCCATCAGCCGGTAAAGAGAAAACAAGAGGTAGAACGGCGCGTTTTTGTGTGCATATGGCAAGAAACTAGTAAAGAAAATATGTGGCGCACTCACGTTTACTGGCCGGACCCGGCTGTGAGCTAGTCCGGTTTGGAGGACCACTGGATTCGCCCTTTGAAAAGGAACGCATGGCGCGTTCAAAGTTTTCTTCCATATACTTGCCCTGTTGGTTACGTATGAAAAGGTATGATCTAGTTAATCCGATGTTAATAAAGTGTGGAAAGGAGTCAGAAAAAAACATAAGTGAAGTACAAACAACATACAGGAAGACGCCATCAGGAGGTAAAAGACACTTGGATTGGCAAGGCAAAAAACGGAAAATGTCATTGTTTTTCCTCGCAAGATGAGCATCGACAATGATCACTTGACTTAAACCACCCTTTGGCGTAACCAGTATGATCAGTTTCAAGTTATGTTATAAAGTACTTTGGAGCAATGGGTCCGTACCAGATTTTACAAG